GAGATGTAGTACAGTATGAAGTACAATATGTACCTCTGAGATGTAGTGGAGGAGAAGTATAAAGTATCAGAACATGTAAGTACTGCAGTAGAGTACACGTACTTAATGATTTTGTTCCTTCGTTCTGTTCCTCTCGCAGCGGATCGAAACCTTCGACTTTACTCCTTAGATTAGTATTCAGCAGCCGAGTGCTGACCAGCTGCAGAGTCACTGTTCTGTAACTCACGCTGACCTCTGACCTCTCTGCGGAGGCAAGCCAAGAAGAAAAAGAGCGATTGGTCTCCGGAGGATCGATGAAGAACCAGAAAAGAGACGAACCGGTTTCAATAAATCACGTTCCTGTGTTAATGTGATGCTGTTGCTGCGGACGCTGCCAGACTACAGCGTGAAGTCGTGCTGCGTTCAGGAGCAGACACACTTTTCTACCGAGCTGTAAAGTTCACATGTCATGAGCTGCCTTGAGCCACAAAAAATAAAATAAATAATAATAATAAACTATAGAAATTGTCAATATTTGTGTTTTTGAAAGATGGAATCACCCAGTAATATGTATAAAATATGATATCTGTGGTAGATGTATGCTTTTCCTGCACGTCTCAGCAGCTCTGGGGCGCTGGAGAAACCGCCCAAAAGAGGCGGGGCTATGAAGCAGTTTAGCCAATTGCTGATTAAAGGTATAAATGTGTGACATACAATTTAGCCAATCAGCGTCCTCAAATAGATTCAGTTTGGGGCAGAAATAAGATCTTTGGGACGGCCGTCAATATGCCGGCGCAGAACAACTTCCGGTTCGAGTGAGGATGAGGAGCGAGGGAACGATCCTCGCTTGAACCAGAAGTTGTTGAGGAGCGAGGAAATGAGGAAATGACAATTAAGAGACTTGGGTACATCCCAAGTCTCTTAATTGTTGAACCGGTTTCAACCGAAAGCGGTCGTTGCTTGAACCGGAAGTTGGAAATTACGTCTTATGGAGGACGTCTTTAGCAGGACGGCTGATGTACCCCAAGACCCGTTTGAGAGGAGAACTTTGAGGAGAACCTTCAGGCCAAAGAGCTGATATCAGATCAGCCTGACCTCACAATCAGACAGCAGACTAGCGGGAAAGGGAAGCAGTACATGAAGCTTCTCCACTAGCTGAACACCAGACAGGTTTGGCTAGCTGGATGACGTCATGCTAATGACTTATTTAGCTTTTTAAAACAACGGGGACAGATCCAGCACGGACAGTTAGGGAGTGAGGGACATGAAGCACCTGCTGAGACATGATATATAGTTATTAATAAATCATTATTTATATATATATATTATTTATATATATATATATCAGTTTCTCACATGCTCTCTGTCAGGACGTTGACTTCTTCCACTCCACTGACTTCACTTGAACTCAGCACGAACCGAGAAGTGTGAGGACGAAAGGCCTGGCTCGCCGAAGGTGTTGGTGCGTGTTAAATTCAGTTCATCTGAGCGCGTGCACGACAATAATCCCACTCAACACTATTTGAGTTGTACTTAAAGAAACAGAGCAGAATAACTGGCTATCGAACCAAAACAATCAACCAGATTCCACATTCCACAGTCAACACCTCCAATAACAAAAGGTGGTTGGAGGTTCAGGGTCTCGCTCAAGGACACGTGGCCCCTTAATGGACTCATTAGTGTTCTGGCCTGTTACGGTGCCGCCTGTGTCGACATATGGCCGGCTTGTTTGTACACCCGTCCTCTGTCATCTTGTGTGCATCAGTATTCAGTGAGTTGCGGCCCTCTTGCTGTGAACAGACACATTATTAGTATTCGTGGCTTCCAGCATGTTCTGGTCCAGCTGGCAGCCAGACCCCCGAGCACGCAGACTGTGTTCACACACACACACACACACACACACACACATTTGTACTGAACTTGTGTGGAGCCTCATTAAATATGGAATTTCCTGCTCGCTGACCTTATCACAACTACAAGTCAAACACAAACCTCTACTCTGAGTGAGGACTGGAGAAAATATCCTCCGTATCCTCACTTACACCTTTAAGGCCCAGTCCCAAACGTCCCCCCCTATGGACTTAAAACCTGAACCCTCAGGGACTTAACTGACGTCACCTGTTAGATGGTTTCAGTGTGAGAGGCTTATGAGATGAGAGTTAATTGTCAAATAAGGAACAAGATGAAATAAATGTAAATCGCCCGGCTGAACACACATGTGCCGTCCTCTTTGTTTACGTCTCCGTGCTTCCTCTGGTTACTCCGTGTTTGGCATCACAACGCTATGAATTGTGGGTAATTCCCTTGGGCAAAGTCTGCAGAAATGCTGACTTACAGAAAGGGTTCATAAAGGGCTCTAAATGTCTGCGAGGAACTCAAACTCTCGATGACTTGAGAGAACTAAACCCTCACAGACTCTGCAGGAGTCTGTGCATGTGAAGATTGTCATTGGGCCTCACAGTGACACTACGTTGTTTCAATTAGTTTGATTTTTATCATAATTATTTCATGTTTCTTGCATACTGTGAAACTTGGCACTTTTTAAAGTTATGAAGCATATTGTTTGCTCTGTTGGATGAAGGTTAAAATATCTTTCTTTATTCATTCCTGCCTGCTTATGTCCACAACACATGGTGGATTAAACACACGAAAAGCTGTGGAACCGAAACAGACCACATTTAGGTTTGCAAAATAACAAAAGAAGGAGCAAGAAGTTTGCTGGAGCAGATAAGAGGTCTGTGCAGGACGGAGCGTCGTTGAGAAGTGAGCCGAGAGCTCAGCTGCCTCAGAGAGCTGCACACAGGTGATTCCTATCAGGTGATTACCCACCGCTGGAGACCTGCAGGCACACGGAACAAACACCGTACTGTTTTAATCTGCCTGTGCAATCACCACAGCTGTTTCTAACAGCGTGTCACGCATTCTTCTTTTGATAACATTGTACCTAAAAATCGAATGAACTTAGTCTGTGGTCTGGAGAATCTCAGATGGACTCTAACACGTTAGTCAGACCCTCTGGTGCTTTAAAAGCACCGAAACATTCAGTAGAATGAACATTCAGCCAGTGAAGCGATGCAAGGACAAAGTAAAGGCAGAATAACAGCTTTAAATGGGTTTCATGTTTACCGCCTTCATATGAACGAGTCCATACAAATGTGCCCCTCTTGTGGTTCACAACCTCCCACGTGGAACTCTTTCACAAGTTGGGACGTGTTCACTGACGTTTTTAAAAATGGCGTCGTCCATGGAAGTTTATCTTCTGGTGCATGATAAGTTAATATATTGTAATTTTATGGAAGTTTTTCTTGTTGCTTTTCCTCTTGTCATCATGACTCCTTTGCATTGCCTGCATTACGTAGACGGCTCGCTAACTCGCTGTATTTTTTAGCATCGCTGGCTTTTAGACACCGATAATAGTTCGCTGTTGCCTAGCAGTGATGTTCTCATGACTTGAGCGCCGCGCTCGTCGTGTGCACGACTTCCCGCGTCGTAACCACGAGTTCTATTGAGTGACGGCAGGAAAACACTTTTACACAAAGAAAAAGATGCACGAAGTTATTATATTAAATCAAAGGATCAACAGAGATATTTCTATCCCTCACAGGGATGCCAGACAATAAAGACGCCCCGCAGAAAGGGTTTATTTGCAATTTTTAATACTTTTTCTTGAATGATTACACAGATCCTTGAGTCGAGTAACAGAAAGCAGAAGATCCAACTCCAACAACCTTGACAATGTTCAAAAACAGGTAAAGAGATTTTTGTTCAGAAAACCTTTAATCGTTAATAGAATTAGTAGTATGACATATTTCAATAAATATTTAGATATATACAGATACAGCAGAAACGGTACATTCTTTTTTTTCTCTTCAAATTGCTTCACTTTTTTTTGTACAAGCCAAAATATCTGCCATTGTATTTATATTCATGCAAAATATTGTTTCTCAGATTAATGAAAAATAAAAAGGATTTGCTGAACTTTTCTTTGTTTTTTTTTTGCTTCATCCTGCTTTGATGTGCACTCTCAGATTATAAGCATCGTAATGAGCTTCGTAAATTTTTCGCAAATCAAACGGGGTGCACTTTGTGCCAATACACGATAGAAGCAAGTAAAGCAAAATTAAGGCCATTCCAACTTGTGCAAAGGAAATAAATATAATAATCATAATAATAACAATGTTTCCTTTAGTTCACAGCAGTTCAGAAGTCACTGTATTGTTCCTTCTCCCTCAGGGCATCGGATTGTACAATACATACAATAAAATACAAGAGAATCAAACATAACCCCCGAAAACCAATTAGAGTCATTAATCATCGACAAATCAAACCATGCTACTTTAAAATCCAGTTCAGAACCTAAGGATTTATAAACGTCTTCTGTCTTTGTTCAGTCCGTATGCATCACGTCACACCGTGACGCAATATATAAACCCAGCATCTCTCTCGTGTTATGAACCCCTCCCTCCCCCAACCCGAACAGTATAACAATGTTTAATACAATGGTGAGAGGCCTATGACGAAGCTCTAAAATGACTATGATACACACACAACACCCACGCCTGAGGGAAAGGGGACGAGTCATATAAAAATGGTAGTTGAATGAATGCGTGATATGCTTGTAGGTCCTCGTTTTTCTTTTTTCAGTTGCATATTCAACCCCCTTATGGCACGAGAAGAGATGTACGTGAGCTCTAGAAAATGGACCGACTGCTGTCGGCAGAAAGAGGCTGATGGACAGAAGGGATTTATTCCAGACGCAGTGCGTCTTTGGCACAGAAGGAAAAACACGAATCCTCCAAGTTCAGACTGTTTAGGCCGCGATCAGAGAGCGATCGAGCATTAGTGTCACCGTGGAGCTGTGAAGGACTCGACACGGTGCAATCCTAACATCAACCAGATCTATATTTGTTTTCTTGTTCAGCAGCTCTTTATTTTGGCATTTACATTTTCTTTTTTTACTTTTCTTGGTTTTTACAGAGCCTTTAAAGTCTCGAAAAAAAGTTTTTCAAATGTATTACTTGTAGACATAAGATATGGATGTCTGAGAAAAAAGAAACACCTTTTGTGAGTTCGTTGGCTTCGTAGGTTCAAGTATCATGAATTCTGAATGAAGAGCACGTTTTGTGCTCCATGTAGGAAATAAAGTGCAGCAGAATAAATGAATGAAGACGAAGCGAATGCTGCTTTCCAGACAACTCAGAGGCCAGAATTTTCCCAGTCGAAATTTAAAACTTCTGACTTCCGAAGTGTTCGGGTCCACGACGTCAAGCGTAAACCGAAGACATCGCTAAGTGTGCAGCATCCAATTGTTTTTGCAGAGACGATAACTTTCACAGATAGTTTAACCAGCTTCCTAATAACATGGCGACGTAATTGGACTTCAATTTACATGCAGAACATGTTTACTTTATGACAGTATGATGTAGTGAAATGAAATACAAGCTAATATACTTAACGTTGCCTTTACAATATGCTATTCCATCGCTGTGACGTCAGACAACTGCCTTTTCTTCAAGTGGGGGAAGATGATTTGTACCGAGTTCATAATACTTTGAGTGTCGCTCTGTTGTACCTTTTCTAACAGAATGAGTTCCTGTTGTCTGGATTTCAGCATTAGCAGCACGTTTGTATCAAGCTACAGACCATGTTTGCCAGCGTTCCTGACTAGCTACGTACTTCTTACGTCTTCTCTACTTATGTACTGCACTGCCCAGCATCACGGCAGGGCGGGAAATAGTCACAGAATATAATTTATTGGTTTTGTGTAGAGCGACAACAATTCCCGGTCAGCATGAAAACTATGCAAGTGAAAAGTAATTTAGGTCACTTTCTTTGTGGTGGACACGGTTTAGTGTAGGTTTTTATCTGGACGCGTGAAGCGACATAAGAATTCCATCTGAGTTGCTTTCAGTCGAATGAGTTCCAGCTGGTTAACCTAAAGTCTCAGAATGATCAAATAAATGTATCACGAGAAGTGAGAGATTCCTCCGAGAGCTTGTGAGGAACTGGATTAGTCCTTTTGATAAAGAGACCGATGCTGTAGAACCTAATACTGTTGAAAACACACTCGTCCCTCCAGGCTTTGCTGGTTTTGTCTTTGTCTAAATCTGATGGTTTGCATCGTAAATACTTAGCAACAGAGAAATCTGCTCCGACCAACTCGTTAAAAATAACTAGAAATAAAGCGTCCCGGGTGATCATGGCCTTGAGAGCTTTTACATCATATCAGGGAATGATTTATGAATTAAATGCATATTTATTGCATTGTTGTATGGCACTTCCACTCTAAAGTTAACACATGTTGGAATGTGTACTGCGCGGCATAGCCCTTCAGATCAGTCTAACACGCTCTGACATAACTGAATTCATGAAAAGTGGTTTTACAATTATCTGTCCCATCAGATCCAAAAAGTCTCACGGTGCAAGTTTTACAAGTAAAGCTTTGTAAGTAGAAATGTGATAGGGGTGAATTATCAAATAAAAATAGGGAAATACAATGATGTAGAGGGAAAATGCATAAATGTTTCATATCAAAATATGCCTTTATATATATATTTATATGTGTTATAATTGTATTTATATATCTGAAGTTAATCTGGCAATCATATTCAAACAGGCTGAATATATCACATCCTGCACCACATCTTCAACATTTGCCCCACAACAGCAGCAGAAGGCAACGAGAAGAACGTCAAGCATGAGGAATATAAAAAGAAAACGTCTCTGGGTTTTGCTTCAAAACCAAGTTGGACCGGAGCTTAAATATGTTGACGAGCAGGAATTCTCCACGTTGTTCCTGCGTGATGCTGAAAAATAAAACACTCCGCTGTACTTTTATTGTGAAGTTAAATATGTTTTAATCAGCCTTAGTCTCTGCAGGAAGGACAGGAAGTCAACATGATGAGATGTTTCAGTTTGCTGTAAGTGAAAAACGTTTTTTTTAAACTTCACAATAAAAGTCCAGCAGATTGTTTTATTCAAACTCTTCACTGACAAAGCTGCTGCAGTGAAGTGGCTCATTGAACGCTGTATCATGAGGGAAAAGGTCAACATTTTGGAAAATATAATTATTCACTTGGTTTTTAGGAAGTTAGTTGAGACTGTTGATGATAATGGGGCTGGAGCCGGGAGGCTGTTAGCTTAGCTGTTAGCATCACTTTTAAATTGAGGGCAGAAATTCAAAAGACAAATTGAAACTCTGTTCATTTTGAGTTTTGTCTTTGCTACAAAATTGTAAAATGTTCACCTCTTGCAATAAAACCTAAAAAAAATGATGTAGAAGTGACAACGTGAACGAGGAAACCAACCGTTTGTGCAGAAAAAGACTTTTTTCCACTTTTATTTCTTGACTTTGTTTACCCGTTCTGATTGGCTCAGAGGTTTGGCTCAATCTGTCTGCTGCTGATCTAACACTGTGAAACAGTAATCTGCACGCATCGGGTTAAAGTCCCTGCACGGTCGACACTTCTTCTCTGTATTTCTATCACTTCATCCATTCCGTCCATATTCACCGAGGACTGTTTAGCAGTTAGCAGTGGGATGAATGAGCCAGAAAACAACTTGCTTTTCAGATGGCGCTGCTTAAAGGAAGGAATAAAAAATCATAATTGCATATACTAATTATTGCATAGAGAAGCCTGGAGCAAAGTAAAAGAGATGAATCATCAATCAAACCAAATGATCAAATCCCGTCCAACGTGGCTATACAGCACAAAGAAATCCAGTGGTCCACTCCATGGGCACGAAGACGTAGCTGTTCACAAATGATGAGGTTCTCAGCGACAGTTGGTGCGCGTGTGAATGAGATGGAAATACAGTTAATTAAGGTATAACAGGTGCTATAATCTGTATAATTTACTACATATGTCCTCTCGGCTGGGGAAGGGTGGGGTGTCACATTAAGGCAGGGTCAAAGCAAGGAAGCACTAATAAGATGTAAACATGTGGTTCAGTCCCGATGAACACGAGGAGAGCCAGCGGGGATCTGCGTTTGACTGACTCTGTCCCGGATTGGTTCGCTCCGGTCGATGAAAGCAAACTGACATCTTTGGGGATTAAAAATAACCCCGAAGAAGCCCGGGGAGGAGACGTCATTCCATGATGTCAAACCGTCCACTTTTTTCCCAAAAAAACGGGTCCGGAGCTGCAGAGCGCTGCGCGGCCACAAGCGACATGTTTACTTGGCACGTAATTTAAGATACAAACCAAACAACAAAATGCAATATGAACTAAATGAAGGACAGGTAGAGGAACACGACGAACACAGACAAATGAGATGTTGTGTCTCAGAATCCTCAGCACTGCTCGTTCAGTGTTTCTTATTTTTTCTTCTTATTTTTGTCCAGTCGTGCGATCGACGGCGGCGGCAGCGAAACCTCGAGTGTCTCTGCAGTTCAAGGTCTGGTGTGTTGGCGGCGGCGGGAGGAAAAAGCGCTGAGGAGTGCTCGCAATACACGTTTGAAGCAAATCTAGATATATAGAATGCGTGATCCTTGCATCGCTTTATTTAATGGAAGCACCGATCCGCCTTCCTTCCTTTTTTTTGGGGGGGGGGGGGAAATAATCCCTTATTTCCAGATGGCTGTCTCTCAAATAAAGTTCCTTTTTCCCCATTCATGATAGATATATGAGTATATTACACTGCTGTATGCTTCTCGCACATCCCCCACCCCGGCCCCTCTCTTTTTTCGTATATAATTATGTATCTGTCTCCACGCAAAAGAAAATAGAATAAAACAAGACTCTTCTTCTTCTTCCAGTCCGTCCGCTCCCACAGTTTGTCGGGCGTGCAAAAGTCTGCATTTACGTTTTTCGTCTTTTCATTAATATATTGCCACATTCATATATCATGCATTTTACTGCATCGCTATTGCACTGGTCCGGATTATTCTGGAGGTGTAAAGAGCCAGAATGAGTTTGGGATTTTTTCTGTCGGGGGGGGGAATAAAGGGAACAAGAAAGCAATAAATATCTCAAATAGTGTCTAGTGGGTGTCGGGTGGGGAGGTGAGGGAGGCGACCGCCACAAAAAGCAACTTAACCTCGACCAGAAGAGGAAGAGGACGAAGGAAGAGGACAAGGAATGGCGTGAAGAAAGGGGGGGGACGACAATGATATCTCTTGTTTCCTTCTCTCGTTTTGTTTCTCTGCATTCTCCTCTTCGCACTGTTCTCACCTTCCTCCTCCTCCTCCTCCTCCTCCTCCTCCTCCTCCGCTCCTCTCGACTACTGCTTGTGGATGTCCTCGCTGCGGATGATCTTGTAAATGATCCAGTAGAAAATGTTAAAAATGAGGAAGACGAGCGGGAAGGCCACGCGGGACACCGTGTCGATGCGCTTGGCGCGGCCGATGAACAGCTTCTTCATCTCATCGATGGTCTTCTCGGGCGGGCCCGAGGCCGGGGCGTTGTTGTTGTTGCCCTTGATGGCCATGCCGTCTTTGGCCTGCAGGCAGGCGGGGCCCATGCCGTAGCCGGGGAAGCTGAAGCGCCCCTCGCCTGTCTCATCCTCCTGCAACACAGGCCAAGACTCAGGCTGTTAGGAACCAGAGAAAGACATTACTGTTGGAGGTGTGTGTGTGTGTGTGTGTGTGTGTGTGTGTGTGTGTGTGCATCAGAGCTCAGTTCAATTTCAGGTCAGTTAATAACAAAAGAGATTCAGACATGAAAAGCAGATATTCCAGATGACATAAAGTGAAGATGAAAAGTCATTTCATATTGTTTGTTTGTGTCTGAATTAAACTTGAATCTTTACTTTTAATTTGTGTTCATATTACTGTTCTTGGCAAGTCCCGCCCTGCGTAGCATTTAAGCTCCAGGATTGGCCAGGCGCTCCTCGCTCGCCGAGGTTCCAGTACTCTGGTTTGTTTGGGTCCTGACCAATGGGCTACCTGGACTCTAACCTGAAGCAGTCGTCTCTGCCTCAACCAGCGAAACAGGACGGGTCCTAAGAAACGTTTTCCAGTCTCTATCATTTCACTGCTTCCTGATTGACCATAACGTGTCCCGCCTGTACTGTCACTGACTAGTTTGGATTCCTTTAAATCTGACAACCTGATCATTCTGATCATATGTCTTCATTCAGAAAAAACAAACACAAATGCAGCCATGTTATGTGACAGTTACAGTGTGTCACACCGACATTCATGGTACAAACAGAGAGCACAGTTCTCCAACGGTCAGATGTGGCTCATTGATCGGTGTTTGGAGTGTTTGTCCTCATGTGGTGTCATCGGATGAATCTCACTCGATCATAAATAGGAGGCATGTGGCCGGTTGTTCATTATTGGCATAGGTACCCCCCCCCCCTAAACACTATGTGAGGGCAGGTGTTGTGTAAATACTGAAGATGACATCAAAAGGCTGTAGAAGAAGAAGAACGTCAGCAGAAGTGAAATCGAGGTTCTGTTAAAAAACTTAACGAGTTTGGGAGAATTTCAATTGCTTCTCAATGTCTCTCAACACGGGCCTGTAGCTCGCAGCTAACAGCGCTAACAGTTTTTGTTAAATGTAATTCAGAAGAGGAATATAAAAGGTTTTATAGTCAATCCATCTATTCTTTATCTTTTCCTCTTCCTGACCATTTACATCCACAGTTTAAAGTCACTAACTTAACCTGCACCGTGCAGACACACTCCACTCAGAAAGCCCCTCAAACGGTGGATTCATAAATCATGAGCTGCACATTGATCACACAGCACGCGCCTCGCCTTCGTAAAAGTCATCAATACGAGACGAAGCTGAACGCTGAGCGTGTTTATCTCACCCGTCATGGAGATCGAGGGGGGGGCGGTGAATGGATCGGATTGATTGGCATGCGCTGCACTCAAGGTTATGTCGTGTGTGTGTGCGTGCGTGTGTGTGCGTTTGTTTGTTTTTTCGCCCGTGCACGGGGAGATATTGAAAGTCCTATCTGCACCGTCACCCTGCCTTTTCATTACGGGAGACACAATGACTTTCTTATCTGCTTCAGAGACTCCAACACAAACAGTGCGATGGGCTGAGAGACACTGAAGGTGTGTGTGTGTGTGTGTGTGTGTAAACTAAACTAGGAAAATAACCAGCGCTCCAAAGTGCCCTTCAACGCCAAAACAACACCCATGAAATTAAATAATTTGCAGACGAAAAGAATCCCTCCACTGAGCAGTCTTTGTGCACGATTTTGATAAAAGACAATGTCAACAAATTCATGCGTGAACACGACTTGTGTCCCCCGTGGGGAAGTCTATCAGCGGGGAATCTTTCCAGTGCATTGTGGGAAAGGAAAAAGGAGCATTTTTTTTATGATAAAGAAGAAAAAGCAGGATGCGCAGCCTGGAGCCGGAGGAAGTGTTGGCAGCAGGAGAACTTAACGACTGACGCAAAACCTCTGCAGCGGCAACAAATCAAGCAGCCGGCTCAGCTCTCCTCTGTTTCACCAGCCTGCAGTCTCCAGCAGGCAAAATGAGTCAACCAAAATCAAAATGCTCCTAAAATCACATATATGTGAGTGTGCATGTATCTCACTGTATCTATAGACATGTGTTTATGTGGAGGACCACCAGGCAGAGATCCATTTTTAGTACCTCGTGTCCCCGTTCTGTCCTTGCATCCACACCAAGCCATCTATTACTGTTAACACACACACACACACACACACACACACACACACACACACACACAGGGTGTCTTACACACTAGCCGCGATGCTAGCCGACCTCTGCCCGTCCTTCAGTGACGCTGCTAAACTATTACAGATGCTCCGCTTTATTCTCACTGCCATGTGATTAATGTGGAGGGGAGGAGGAGACGTGAGGAGGAGGTGCAATGAGGATGGGGGAGGAGAGGGGAGGAGGAAGCCCTGCAGCCAGTCAGGAGACCCCTAACTGAAACAAAAACCTCCGGCCTTGGAAGATCCAGGTGATCCATTATATTCAAGACTAATTCGATGTTTACTCCATTAACGAAAAAAGGACTGAGATGGATGGATGGACAGATAGATAGATAGATAGATAGATAGATAGATAGATCGATAGATAGATAGATAGATAGATAGATAGATAGATAGATAGATTGATAGAAGCAGCTCACTCCTCTTTCCTCTCTTTTATTTTGTTGTTGTTCTTCCTCCCTCCATCATTCTCCTCCTCGTCTCTCTCTTTCATAAAACCTCACAGACCTTTCTTTGTTACAGAGGTTACTTCTTCTTTATATCTATAACTTACATTATTGTTATCAATCATTAATATTCATTATTCTGTTGAGTTTGGTTAAATGAAATGTTTCTGTCATTGGAGTCTCGTAGCTCTGAGCACATAACGAACGTTTCTTTTCACGTCTAATTCTGTGAATTAAGGATTCATTGTTGGAACAGTGGAACGGCTAAAGACGGGTTTGATGAGTTTTATTCTGGTTTTGTCTAGTTTGAATGAAGTGTGATCAGCGAGGTCAAATCGCTGTCCGACTGGAGTCTGGTGGCTTTGAGGAGAACATATTGATTGTATCTTTTGCACATTAATAAAATAGAATAATTGTCCAAATCCCATGTTCATTTCTTTATTATTTATTCTCTCGAAAAGAGGACAAAATTAGCGAATCCATCCGCCCAATGTGAGAGGGTCTTAGTGTCCTTTTAGTCCAGTGAGAAAGGGGCTAAAGATGCAGGTGATGCACCAGTCTGGACATAGCCTGTCACCTGTGACAGCAAATACTACTACTAATAATACTAATACTAATACAACACTAATAATACTAATACTAATAATAATATAACACTAAACCTATTTACAGAACAAAGGTTAGCAAATATGATTTGCCACATCAGGCAGAGGTCAGTGTTTCTCTACCAATGAGGAAACTTCTTTATGTTTTTAATCTTTTAAATAAGGGGACCTGAAGAACACACCTAATACTTTAAATTAGGGAGTATTTTAAAGGCTATTAGCAATATATTGTTTGACTGCGTGTCCTTAGACACTGCAGAGACAAATTCTTCCCATCAGGAATTATTTCTGTCAGAATGCGGAGCACTCTTTACAATGTAAACATGTGAGTACACTGTTCATGTTAAAGCTGATGTTGTGTTGGTGGAGCTGCTCGTGACCTCGGTGTTTCTAACATCCCGGCCGCAGTGACGGCGGGTCAGGGCTGGTCTCTGACCCGTCACTGACACATCAGAGGAGCTCTTCTCAAACCCATCTCACCATCGTCTTGTCCTTTCATCCTGTGACCGTGTCTCAAAATAACTGAAGGAATTGTATTTAATTTGCATCAAGCTCATATTAATACTACAATGATTGCAGCTGCCTATTCCTGTGCATTGTGGTGCTTTTTATTCCTGATGCTTTATGTAAAAGGACCTTCAGATGAAGCGCCTGGAGGGGAAAAGGAAATTGACTGAACGAGAAGGAAGGATGAGTAGAGAAGACAAAGCTGGAATTTCAGACAGAAAGCGAAAGCAAGAAGCAGAGAAAGAGAAAAAAAGTAGAGAATGGAAAACACAGCAACAAATAAAGAAGAATGATAGGAGAGAAATGCAGAAGAACAAAGAACCGTTGAGAGGTTAAAAGGCGTCGGAGTGACGGAGGGATGGAAAGAGAGGAAGACTGGAAAGAAGCAGAGGGTAAAAAGAGAGCAAGAGGACCTCTTAGCTCGCTCATCCATCATGCTTTCGTCTCCCGATTGAAGCACTTATACGTCCGCCTCTGATTAATCGAGCAGATTAGCAGGAAGCAGAAAGCAAACTGCGTCAGGCCCGCTATCCTCCACCATCTCCTCTGCAAATATTACCCTCGGATACTTGTTTTAGGGACCCGCATTTACATAGAACATGATTCAGAGAGGTGTCAGGCCCAACTACCGCCGGCATCAGTCTCTCCTGAATGAGGCCGGAGGAGGAAATCCTCTGCTTGCGTTCCGCTTTATAACCCCCCCAAGAAGCAATTCCATCCGAGCTGTGGGGAAGGAAATGTATTATAAATTTGCCTTTGCCGATCCATTTTGTGGTGGATTCATTTCAAAACCGTCCTCAACCCCGCTCTCCTCTCTGCAGCTCTGCTCGATGAGCGCCTTTCGAGGCTTTTTAGGACGTTTGGGTACCGATGTGTCGACGTGGAGTGGATTCTGTGGAGCGGAGAGGAATGTCTGAGTAGATGCGAGTTCAGAAAATGGTCTACGGTTCTACTTATCAAAGCAGACACTCGTATCTTCTTGCTGGAGCTGCTCGTGGTATTATATGTGTTGATGTTTCATTTATTTCAGGGCGAGAACAGGTTTATCATGCAGTGGTCATTGTTGAGCTTTTGTTCTATTTTTCTTCCTTAACATGTCTTCTTCCAGACTAGTTTAAAGAAAACATCTTAAACACACATTCAGGTGTTTATTTCACTTCTTTGTTTGTTTACATCTGTAGATTTCTCCATTAGAGTTATTACATAATGCCTCATTTGCATATTTAAACACAACATTTCAGCAAACTTGTAACACAATAAATACTCCTCTTAATGTGAGTGATGAAGTGGTGAAGTTTCATGG